TATGGTGATGAGTCCAAAGACCAAATATCTGATTTTCAATATTTTGAGAAATGCATATTTCGCTAATAGTTTAAAATTTCATAATTTGTCATGTTTAGAGGTAAGAAACTGTATTTGTCCTATTATAGAACAGGTGCTAGAAATTAAATATCTAGGGTTAGTATTGGACTCAAGAGTAACTTGGAAAAATCATGTAGATTATTTAAAGAGGAAATTAATAAAATATGTAAGAATTTTCTACCTATTAAGGACTGTTTGTGACATTAAGTTATTAAAATCGGTGCATTTTGCTCTAATCAGTTCAAAACTTGAGTATGGCCTGGCCATTTGGGGAGGTACCTATAAAACTACAATAAAATCAATTATATTATTACAGAAGTCGTTCTTACGTATTCTGACCAGGAAAAAAAGGTCAGAGCATACAGCCCCACTATTCAAAAAGTTAGCGATTTTGCCTTTAAGGAGTTTATATGTGTTTAAAGTTCTTAGGACATTTTTTGACATGAGTGGTGACAGAAATCAAAACATAAATTTAAAGAAACTAATTTTAAGACGTAAATTTGAAGTCAGCGTACCCAAGCCAAATTTAACTCATTTTAAGAAATTTTATACATTTTTAGCTCCAAAATTTTTGTATATGCTACCTGAAGAGATTAGATTAGCCAAAAATTGTAGTAAGTATAACAAACTGATTAAATCTTTATTATTTGAAATTGACAATGTAGATTCCTTTTTTCTTGTACTGCAATAATACTCATATTAAATTTCCACAGTAACATAAGATTTTTCATACCTTATAACTGAGAAAATTTGTTGAGAGTATTTCCTTTTATATAGCTCAATTTAATTAATTTTGTTTTAGAAATATATCCTAGCCTACTAAGATAATTGTAATTAAGCACTTACATTAACTATTTGTAGAGAAGCCATATGTTGTATCTTTATTATCAAGTAACTTACTGTACAAACGAATATTGTATACCAGTGTGTTGGTCACAGTCCTTCTAGCTTGAGTGTATTTTGTGCAATTCAGTGGTAATCATCCCACACAGGTATTGACCTCGGGATGCAGACTTTATTGTTCCAAAGTGTGAAAGTGTGTTTTTTATAAATTAACAAGCAGAATTAACAATTTAATTTGAAACATGTAATTTAGTTAGTATAGCGTGAATATTCTGTAATATTATGTAAAGAGAACAATATAGGGGATATAAAATGGTTTAGGTTACCTTTTGCATCGAACGATCCTTGATGTAGTAAGTGATAACTACAGCTGTTTCATGCCGCTGGGGCACATCTTCAGGTTGTAGAGCGTCAAGATAAAATAGCTGTCATCCGTGGATGATTTAGTCAAAGTAAATATTACGCAAAAAACACTAATAAGAAAACATTTAAAATACACGAATTTTACAAACTTGGCCAAGTGACAAACTGACAAACACGCGAGACAGGCGCCGGTGAATGTTGCGTCATGACTGCGGGCGTGTGTCCAAGCATCAGCTGTTACCCCCTCCCCCCTACTCCTTTATCAGGACCTGTTTTGTTTTGGTCTAGTTGAATGGCAGTATTGTAAATAATGTTTGATCTGAATGAAGTTTGTTTGTTTAATACATGTTCAGATCAAACATTATTTACAATACTGCCATTCAACTAGACCAAAACAAAACAGGTCCTGATAAAGGGGTAGGGGGGAGGGGGTAACAGCTGATGCTTGGACACACGCCCGCAGTCATGACGCAACATTCACCGGCGCCTGTCTCGCGTGTTTGTCAGTTTGTCACTTGGCCAAGTTTGTAAAATTTGTGTATTTTAAATGTTTTCTTATTCGTGTTTTTTGTGTAATATTTACTTTGACAAAATCATCCCCAGATGACAGCTATTTTATCTTGACGCTCTACAACCTAAAGATGTGCCCCAGCGGCATGAAACAGCTGTAGTTATCACTTACTACATCAAGGATCGTTCGACGCAAAAGGTAACCTAAACCATTTTATATTGCAGTTTTCGATCCAGAGGCTAACCCATCATGAAATAAAGAGAGTTTCATTCATTCATTCATTCATACTGCCAAACAGCTACACGAATTAAAATAACAAATTTAAAAAAAAAGCTGGAGGCAAAAAAAAAGTTAAATTTACCTCGTTGAATCAATCTAAAGGTAAAAAAAACACAATTGAATTTATTGACAACCAAGGACATAAAGTACCAAAATTATCTGACCAGGGTGTGAAAAGGATTTTACTGAACCGCCAGAGGAGGACTGGGTTCAATGCTCTTAATGCAAGTTCATGACGCTGGGATGACGCTTGTTAAAATTATGAGGATGGGATCAAATTCACTTGCTATTACTGCTAAAATGAACTAATTTTCACTAAGAATGTGCTAAACTTAAGTTGTTTTGTAACATTTAAGTGAATGAGTGTTTGTACTAATAAAATCTATTTCAGTATGTCTTGTGTACTTTTTTAAACCATGTGCGTCCTTTTCCCAATTACGTGGTAAGTATTCGCAAATGTAACTTTTTGTAACATTATTATTTTTATAATGATACACTAGAGCTTGCCCCGTGTTCGAAAACTCGACCAAACTTGGGGTATTGTGCAAACTTCTCTATTTTCACTCCATGCTGTAAATAAAACATGTGATTGGAATTTCTTCCATTTGTTTTGAATTTATGTTTATATTTTGTTGTTATTTCGTCACTAACAAGGCAACCCATGTTAATTTTTTTTTTAATTTAAATTAATTTTTTGTGCTTATTTTTAGCCTTTTTTTACAGTATGGGTAGATGCCCTGCGATGCACAGTAGCTGAGAAAAAAGGTTTTCAATAAACATAATTGTCTATATAGAATTAGCCCCATGTTAAATCACCATAAGAAAAGATTAATTTCCATTTTTGACCCAATTAACATAAATATTCTCAAAATACAAATAAAACCTGCACATATAGGACCGATACCCGTGACCTTTCTGTTGGTACAACCTGCGTGTAAATCGGTCCAGTAGTATGGTCAGGGTGGCTGTTGAAAGCTTAAAAATTTGGCTCCATGTTAAATCTCCATAAGAAATGTTTAATTTCAATTTTTGACCCAATTAACATAAATTTTTTCAAAATATATATAAAGCCTGCTCATATATGACCGATAACCTTTCTTTTGGACCCGCGTGTAATTTGGTCCAGTAGTATGGTCAGGCTAGCACCACACTACAGTATCAAATAAAAACACAATAAGGTGGATCTTTCCTGTTTTAAAAGTACAACATTACTTTTGGTATGAGTTTGACTCTAGCTATATACTTGACACAATAATGTCAATTTTCAAAACATTGTAATGGCAAAGACTGACAAATACCTATGCGACCGGAATGCCAGGGAGCAGAAACGCCACTACTATTGTTTAAGTTCTGCAGTCGACTTGTCCAGATTGCCAATGTTAGCCGCTAACCTAGTACTGTGTGATTTTTATTTTCTAGGTTATTGCGGAACATTCAAAGGTTAAAATAATACAAAATGAAATTTTCATTACAATAAAAAAATGTTGCCTATCAAAAAAATCATTTTTAATTTGATTTTGAAAATGTTAAGTACAGTATTATTTTAAAACTAATACTTACTTGTTTATTTAAAGAATTCATTTTAAAACAAATCTCGAATAACCTTTCTATTTTCTTTCACTTTCTTTTTTCTATTTTCTTTGCTATTTTTATTTTGTTTTCAACAGAAACATTCGTCATAACATGATTATTATTTTATGAAATAATTTTATATATATATATTTAGGCCTAAAACAATTTTCAAAAATCCGAGGGCTCTGATAATTGGGGCTCGGATAACCGAGAGAGTACTGTACAGTGTACATATTTCAAAAATTTGACTATTTCAAACTTAAGTTTGAAATGTTAAATTTGTTAAAAACCTTATCAATGACTCCAGGAATGTCGTCGAAGCTAGCGATGTCGTAGCAAATGACACAAAAGCTTGCAATGTCACAAAAAATATTGGGAAACCTTGCAAGGTCACTGGAATCGCCAAAGGAGCTAGCAAGATCACCACAAACCTTACCAAAGCTGGCAACATACCCAAATCTAAGTGCTATTGACGATGATAGTTACAACGCCGAGACCGTAAATGATAATAGCTATTATTTCATGAAAGATCAGTAAGGCTATAAAAATTTCCTAGAATCAAGTTGTGATGTGGCAAACGTCGATAAAGGTGGCGGTATTTCCATGAATGGTGACGAATTACCATAAATGACAATGAAGTTGGCAATGCTTATGTGGATGGGGAAGAATCTGACAATGTATAACAAACGCCTGGTAGGTAGTATAAGTAATATAAACACAAATTTTTGCGAAGTTATTTATGTATCCACGACCAATAGACACGCTTCAATCAAACACATATAGCAGCAACATTGCCATCGTTTCCTGTGATTGCAGCGCCTTTGTTATAATACTCCAAATACGCTGCAAAATCGTCATCACCTCTCGTCATTGCAGCTTAAACACCAACATATTTTGCTGGTCAACAAAATGTCAATCCCGTCAAAACAATTGATACGTTATTATATTAAATGTTACCGGACTTGATCAGCAGGAAGTGGGCGGTACTGAAACAACTGTTCTTAAAGAAAGATTTGAGACCAGCGATCACGTAAACACAATGCTCTCCTAAATTTTAGTCAAATATTTGGGTTGCATGCATTAAATGGTCCGTTTTAACAAGTTTTTGGGGTCATCCGTTTAATCGGAATACCCGTTATTCGGACTGGCCTCGGTCCCGAAGAGTCTGGATAAGAGGGAGTCTACTGTAGTTCGGAATAGCGGACCTCTATTGAATGTACAAGGAAACGGCATCAGTGTTGTCAAAACTCACAATATTTTATTTCCTCAATCTTAATTCGATATTGATATTGATTAAAGGTAGCTGCACTTTAAAGTTAAAAATCCACCGGATCAATAAATTTTAAATTTTGAAAATTTTAATTTCTCAAACCCTTGATTCATCCAAATGGCTATTATAGTTGTTGATACTGACGGTTTCATCAGGGTGGAGTGTGCCTGGGTTGTTGCGAATGAGGAAGATGACCAATGGGTAGCAGAGTCTGGGAGGAGTGCCTAGCTCCAGGGGAGGTGTGGGGAGAGTCATTGTCTGCTGTCTCTCTCCATGGGCTCCATCCCTGCATCACAACAACATATCATTAACATTTCATTTGAGACCAGGAGAGTAGTAGAGCCTGGGAGGAGTGCCTAGCTCTAGAGGAGGTGTGGGGAGAGTCATTGTCTGCTGTCTCTCTCCATGGGCTCCATCCCTGCATCACAACAACACGTCATTAACATTTCATTTGAGACCAGGAGAGTAGTAGAGCCTGGGAGGAGTGCCTAGCTCTAGAGGAGGTGTGGGGAGAGTCATTGTCTGCTGTCTCTCTCCATGGGCTCCATCCCTGCATCACAACAACACGTCATTAACATTTCATTTGAGACCAGGAGAGTAGTAGAGCCTGGGAGGAGTGCCTAGCTCTAGAGGAGGTGTGGGGAGAGTCATTGCCTGCTGTCTCTCTCCATTGGCTCCATCCCTGCATCACAATAACACATCATTAACATTTCATTTGAGACCAGGAGAGTAGTAGAGCCTGGGAGGAGTGCCTAGCTCTAGAGGAGGTGTGGGGAGAGTCATTGTCTGCAGTCTCTCTCCATGGGCTCCGTCCCTGCATCACAACAACACATCATTAACATTTCATTTGAGACCAGGAGAGTATTAGAGCCTGGGAGGAGTGCCTAGCTCTAGAGAAGGTGTGGGGAGAGTCATTGTCTGCAGTCTCTCTCCATGGGCTCCATCCCTGCATCACAACAACACATCATTAACATTTCATTTGAGACCAGGAGAGTAGTAGAGCCTGGGAGGAGTGCCTAGCTCTAGAGGAGGTGTGGGGAGAGTCATTGTCTGCAGTCTCTCTCCATGGGCTCCATCCCTGCATCACAACAACACATCATTAACATTTCATTTGAGACCAGGAGAGTAGTAGAGCCTGGGAGGAGTGCCTAGCTCTAGAGGAGGTGTGGGGAGAGTCATTGTCTGCTGTCTCTCTCCATGGGCTCAATCCCTGCATTACAACAACACATCATTAACATTTAATTTGAGACCAGGAGAGTATTAGAGCCTGGAAGGAGTGCCTAGCTCTAGAGGAGGTGTGGGGAGAGTCATTGTCTGCTGTCTCTCTCCATGGGCTCAATCCCTGCATTACAACAACACATCATTAACATTTAATTTGAGACCAGGAGAGTATTAGAGCCTGGGAGGAGTGCCTAGCTCTAGAGAAGGTGTGGGGAGAGTCATTGTCTACTGTCTCTCTCCATGGGCTCCGTCCCTGCATCACAACAACACATCATTAACATTTCATTTGAGACCAGGAGAGTAGTAGAGCCTGGGAGGAGTGCCTAGCTCTAGAGGAGGTGTGGGGAGAGTCATTGTCTGCTGTCTCTCTCCATAAGCTCCATCCCTGCATCACAACAACACATCATTAACATTTCATTTGAGACCAGGAGAGTAGTAGAGCCTGGGAGGAGTGCCTAGCTCTAGAGGAGGTGTGGGGAGAGTCATTGTCTGCTGTCTCTCTCCATGGGCTCCATCCCTGCATCACAACAACACATCATTAACATTTCATTTGAGACCAGGAGAGTAGTAGAGCCTGGGAGGAGTGCCTAGCTCTAGAGGAGGTGTGGGGAGAGTCATTGTCTGCTGTCTCTCTCCATGGGCTCAATCCCTGCATCACAACAACACATCATTAACATTTAATTTGAGACCAGGAGAGTATTAGAGCCTGGGAGGAGTGCCTAGCTCTAGAGAAGGTGTGGGGAGAGTCATTGCCTGCTGTCTCTCTCCATGGGCTCCATCCCTGCATCACAACAACACATCATTAACATTTCATTTGAGACCAGGAGAGTAGTAGAGCCTGGGAGGAGTGCCTAGCTCTAGAGGAGGTGTGGGGAGAGTCATTGTCTGCTGTCTCTCTCCATGGGCTCCGTCCCTGCATCGCAACAACACATCATTAACATTTCATTTGAGACCAGGAGAGTAGTAGAGCCTGGGAGGAGTGCCTAGCTCTAGAGGAGGTGTGGGGAGAGTCATTGTCTGCTGTCTCTCTCCATGGGCTCCATCCCTGCATCACAACAACACATCATTAACATTTAATTTGAGACCAGGAGAGTAGTAGAGCCTTGGAGGAGTGCCTAGCTCTAGAGGAGGTGTGGAGAGAGTCATTGTCTGCAGTCTCTCTCCATGGGCTCAATCCCTGCATCACAACAACACATCATTAACATTTAATTTGAGACCAGGAGAGTATTAGAGCCTGGGAGGAGTGCCTAGCTCTAGAGAAGGTGTGGGGAGAGTCATTGTCTGCTGTCTCTCTCCATGGGCTCCGTCCCTGCATCACAACAACACATCATTAACATTTCATTTGAGACCAGGAGAGTAGTAGAGCCTGGGAGGAGTGCCTAGCTCTAGAGGAGGTGTGGGGAGAGTCATTGTCTGCTGTCTCTCTCCATGGGCTCCGTCCCTGCATCACAACAACACATCATTAACATTTTATTTGAGACCAGGAGAGTATTAGAGCCTGGGAGGAGTGCTAGCTCTAGAGGAGGTGTGGGGAGAGTCATTGTCTGCAGTCTCTCTCCATGGGCTCCATCCCTGCATCACAACAACACATCATTAACATTTAATTTGAGACCAGGAGAGTAGTAGAGCCTGGGAGGAGTGCCTAGCTCTAGAGGAGGTGTGGGAGAGTCATTGTCTGCAGTCTCTCTCCATGGGCTCCATCCCTGCATCACAACAACACATAATTAACATTTCATTTTTATATTTTTTTATTTTCTTACCCTCATTTTGTCCTTATTGAAATCCACAGCATAGGGTTATGGGTTATGTATGTAAAAGACAACGCGGGCTTGTTATGGACACCGTCTAGAAGAGAGATGGAGGGAGAATCATTTCCCCCACTCCGCTGCACCAGGGGCCAACATCGCGATGATACAGCGAAGCTTTAGACTTCAGTAAAAATAACTGCCTAATTAGCTACATCAACCTATTTTTTACTCAGGCTTTCAGGTTAGTTTTTGTTTTACTAGAGAAACGAATGGTATTGTAGGATAGCTGAAAAGAGAGTCTACAGAGTCCAACACCTGATTCGAGATGGAAAAATTGGGTACCGTACCTGTGACTGACAAGAAACGAAAAAAAATTCTTCCAAATATTACTGAACATGGGTGTGACAGTAAGGAAGACCCTAAAATCTACTGGGATACTAAGGTTTCTCAACATATCCCATTCTTCCAAAACACAATGTCCCTTAATTAGTTTTTGTTGATAAGCACATTCTTTGTACATATTACCTCCAATCGATGATAAATCAATTATTGAGCGAAGCTCTTTGGGATCAACTTCAATGCAACAAATAGAGAAACATCACTCAATAACGGCTGAACATATTTCAGCCAAACTTAACAAAATTACTTAGACTAATAGTGAGATGGTTTTTAAACAAACAAATTTCAATTAGATAATGCTAATGCAATTTAAAACAAATTTAAAATTTCCAATTTTTAACATTAGGCTTATGGGACTAAAGTAGCCATGACAGGTTTTTTGTTTACAAGAAAAATGTAAACAAGAGAATCATAAGGTATTTCTGAACTTTCTAGACTTTTCTTTTAAATGTTTTTAAACCATTCCTACGATCTTAATAAACAAGAAAATACCGTTAAAACATTTTTTTAAGGCGCGGAATTCACTGCAAATCGAGAAAATATACGGAACTACTTTCTCAATGCGCGGAGCATAAACAAGGAGCGGAGGGATACGGACCGGTGACTACTTTCTTGGGAACCTATATGTGTTGCCAGCTGATTAGAAACAGCCAATGTTAGAAATCAGGATTTAATATTCGATATATCGAACCGCATCGAAATCGATATTTAATCCGATAATACCGAATACCTGACAGGTTATATCATGTTATATTATGTTGAATTAACATCGACGGTGCAGTAAGTTATTAGTACACTTAAATAAACCGCAGATTGAACACTGATCTAATTTAGGCATGTGGGGAAGGTAGGTCGGGGTTTATGAGTATTCGTGACTACATTAAGTGTTCTGAAGTAAGGTTAGATTAGGAAGGTAAAGTGTAGGTTATAAGTAGGTGATCGGGTTGTTTATTTGTGTTGCACCATATAATTTTTATCTTTTGGAATGGTTGGTTAAACGGGGAAACGATTTCAAAAATGCTTGCATATGGTCTTAACAAACCATCTACAGTATTCTAGCATTGACTTTATATAAAGTCAATGATTCTAGCAAATTACTACATAAAAACTAAATGAAAAGAACATTTGGATTTGGACCTTTTGACCATAGCAAAACTAACATATAATTTATGAAATGTGAAAAGTTGTATGTCATTAAATACTATTCTGTAATATTAATAATTGTTCGGCAAATCCTCATCATTTTAATGGCTCGGCTGAAAATGGAATCTGCATTTTGTGAAACAGTAATTTGGTAATAATTCAGTAATTTCAAATGTTGATAACAGTAGCCTATCCTATATAAATACTGTTATTTGATTGCCAAGCCACGGACTATACATACGTCCAGTTACAACCGTAATAAGTAAACCTGGGCTTATAGAAGTACACTTTTAACCACGGTATGGATTTAACTGTCTAGGCCTGTCCAGAAGTAGGCTACTAATTTCTAATTATATTATCTACATTGTATATTTAAGCCATGTCTTCCCTACTTATTATTATTCTGTTTTCACTTAAATCAGCTGAATGCGATGTTTACTTATTACTTATGTTTAGGCCTACATTTCAGCCATCTTATTTTATTGTTCAATAAGTAAGTCTTTTTGCAGTTTTTACACATTGAAATACATGACTGATAATTCAGTTCATTTTAGTTTTTTAAAGGTGTTTTACATTTGAGTCTTACATTAAAAATAGCCCTACATTTTTCGTAAGCCTATGTTTTTTCTTTGAGTATCAATACAACTAGACATTCCATCCCCATGTTAAATTTGTAGCCAGCTTTTTCATCAAAATCTTCTGTATCCAATGGCCAATGGTATTACTAAGGCCAGTATTAAAATGCCGTCGCTAAATCGTCCTAATAATGGCAGAAGACCTACATTATCCAGTTACATTACAATCATATCCTCCATCAAGAATACTTGGTATTAACAATCATAAATTATTTCCAGCAAAGAAAGCTGAGTTTAACCGATTGCAAGGGTTGAAATGAAGACCAATGTTTATGTTGCACAGTTGAATTTAAATGTCAAATTTCCTCTCCTGTTGTTATACAATACTCGTTTTTTAATAGTCACTGTTTTTTTATACTTAAACTAGCTGTAATCTGCGGGCTTTGCCCCGTTTAACTTCTTAATTTTCAAGATGATCTCGTTCGCATGGCTCAATCACGTCCTGGTTGAAGTTCGTTCGCTACGCTCACTCACCTTTAGGTTGGAGCTCGTTCGCTACGCTCACTCATCTTTAGGTTGGAGCTCGTTCGCTGCGCTCACTTGCCTTCAGGTTAGCTCGTTCACTACGCTCACTTGCTTTCAGGTTAGCTCGTTCGCTACGCTAACTCGCCTCCAGGTTGAAGGTCGTTCGCTACGCTCACTCACCTTTTGGTTGCAAATTAGCTGTTGTCATGAATGTAAAAGAAATAATAGTGCTGCACCCTGTTGGTAATCCTTGTAACTTAAATGCTATTGAACATCATAGAACAGAACCAACTTGTTTAATTGAAACAGCTGTTAAGATTCATTAATTCCATTTCTCATAAGGTTAACATGGGAAACTCCAGAGCCACTGGGGCGGAGCCGATTGGACGGATCACGAAATTGATGGTGTATAAACCTATACCATGAAATTCTACACGTATGTACCAAGTTTCGTGGCAATCGGTTAAGCGGTGTATGAGTTTATCACTGCCAAACAAATATATATATATATATATATACAAACATCCTCTTTTATACTTATAGATACTTTAACCAATTGTAAGGGTGAAAAATGAAGTCCAATGTTTTTGTTGTAGACTACAGTTGAATTTGAATGTTAAATTTCCTTTCTCTTTTTTATACTTTGATGCCCTTTTTGGATGTTAATATCAGATTCCAACTACTGTAATATTTTCCTGGTCAAAACTACAATAATGCACTCCTGGAAGAGGTAAATTTGAATTATTATAATTTTAATCAATAAAACCATTAGTAAATAAATCTATTGACTTTTTTACATTTAGTTACTTATACAAATATAAAACCACGTTTGTTCCGCTCAACTGGCTTTCACCTCTCTGAAAGCAACCCTAGTTTACAGTATTTTTTAAATACTCAGTTTGATACTAAAATAAAAGTCTCTCTCACACTACAAAAAATACCTCTCCTCCTTATACATGATGAGACAGTAGCAACCCACTTTCTCTCACACTACACAGTATACCTCTCCTCCTTATACATGGTGAGATAGTAGCAACCTACTCTCTCTCTCACACTACACCATATACCTCTCCTCCTCCTTATACATGGTGAGACAGTAGCAACCCACTCTCTCTCACACTACACAATATACCTCCCCTCCTTACATACATGGTGAGATAGTAGCAACCTACTCTCTCTCACACTACACAATATACCTCTCCTCCTTATACATAGTGAGACAGTAGCAACCTACTCTCTCTTACACTACAGAATATACCTCTCCTCATTATACATGGTGAGACAGTAGCAACCTACTCTCTCTCACACTACACAATATACCTCTCCTCCTTATACATAGTGAGACAGTAGCAACCTACTCTATCTTACACTACAGAATATACCTCTCTTCCTTATACATGATGAGACAGTAGCAACCCACTCTCTCTCACACTACACAATATATCTCTCCTCCCTATACATGGCGAGACAGTAGCAACCCACTCTCTCTCACACTACACAATACAATGTCCCTCTCCTCCTTATACATGATGAGACAGTAGCAACCCACTCTCTCTCACACTACACAATATATCTCTCCTCCCTATACATGGTGAGACAGTAGCAACCTACTCTCTCTCACACTACACAATACAATGTCCCTCTCCTCCTTATACATGATGAGACAGTAGCAACCCACTCTCTCTCACACTACACAATATATCTCTCCTCCCTATACATGGCGAGACAGTAGCAACCCACTCTCTCTCACACTACACAATATACCTCTCCTCCCTATACATGGTGAGACAGTAGCAACCCACTCTCTCTCACACTACACAATACAGTGTCCCTCTCCTCCTTATACATGGTGAGATAGTAGCAACCCACTCACTCTCACACTACACAATATACCTATCCTCCCTATACATGGTGAGACAGTAGCAACCTACTCTCTCTCACACTACACAATACAATGTCCCTCTCCTCCTTATACATGATGAGACAGTAGCAACCCACTCTCTCTCACACTACACAATACAATATCCCTCTCCTCCTTATACATGATGAGACAGTAGCAACCCACTCTCTCTCACACTACACAATACAATATCCCTCTCCTCCTTATACATGATGAGACAGTAGCAACCCACTCTCTCTCACACTACACAATACAATGTCCCTCTCCTCCTTATACATGATGAGACAGTAGCAACCCACTCTCTCTCACACTACACAATACAATGTCCCTCTCCTCCTTATACATGATGAGACAGTAGCAACCCACTCTCTCTCACACTACACAATACAATATCCCTCTCCTCCTTATACATGATGAGACAGTAGCAACCCACTCTCTCTCACACTACACAATACAATGTCCCTCTCCTCCTTATACATGATGAGACAGTAGCAACCCACTCTCTCTCACACTACACAATACAATATCCCTCTCCTCCTTATACATGATGAGACAGTAGCAACCCACTCTCTCTCACACTACACAATACAATGTCCCTATCCTCTTTATACATGGTGAGATAGTAGCAACCTACTCTCTCTCACACTACACAATATACCTCTCCTCCTTATACATGGTGAGACAGTAGCAACCCACTCTCTCTCTCACTACCTCTCCTCCTTATACATGGTGAGACAGTAGCAACCCACTCTCTCTCACACTACACAATATACCTCCTTACATACATGGTGAGACAGTAGCAACCTACTCTCTCAATATACCTCCTCTACATGGTGAGCTTGAGACCCCTCAGCTTGTTTTACCAACACAATTTCATTAATTTCTTATTTGTTCTTCAATATTCTCAACTCATAGGTATTTATAATAGTGCTCTATTATGCTTACTTTTATTCAATAGTACAGTATGGAATTGAATTTTGGGGGTTCACCTCTGAAATTGAAAAAGTTTTTAAAATAAAAAAAAAGTTTAAAATAATTATGACCTTTTACCATGGAAATCTTCATGCAAAACAGTTTTTAAAGGATTGAATATTATGACTATTCCAAATTTGATTTTTTACAAAACAGTGTTAGCGGTGCATTCAAATTTTGATGACTACATTAGCGAAAACTTTGACTACATCTTTAACACTCATTTAAAAATAATTTCCAATATCCGAGACACCGACTGAAGCTTGTAGAAAAAACACCTAAATACACGGAAAAACACTTTTTAATAAACTACCCTCAAATCTAAAAACTGTAATTAATAATACATCTTTTAAAAGCAGCCTTGCTGATTTTCTGATAAGTAAAACATACTACAGTATTAATGATTGCCTCAATGAAACTAACCAATCAATAAGACTTTTATTTTGTATGAGATAGAAACTTATTTTTTCTTTTATCGTTTAACCAATTTTGCCAACTTGTTTAAAAACATGTTTTTTAATGCATAAGACATATTGTTGTACATTAGGTTGAGTTAGTAATAATCTTGACAATGTCATCTGTTTTTTAGCTGTGCTATGATTCAAAGCGTTGATGTGACAATAAAGAATTATTTATTTTTCTGAATGATTTTTTTTTACCATTTCTTTTCTAATACTTTGTTTCCAACTGATATGTTAATAATTTTGTAGCATGGACAACAATACGAATGTAACGGTAATAATGACTGACTATTATTGATACCAAATGCAAGTGCCGAGCCGCTGGTAGTGCCCCTTGAGCAGACAGTCTTGACGTGCCGCTGCCTCGATAGCACTCCACGGACGCCACAGGAACAGATGCAACTCCCTGATGCTGACTCCCCAGAATGCCTGCAGAGTGTACGGCACCTGGCTGGACACTGAGTACTGCAAATCTGTAAACAACAACAAAACAATCAAATGAGGTAGAAAAACACTACAGTAAACGTCATTAATATGGAATTAGGGTTTGCTGTACAGTCATTTGACAACAATTTGTAAAAAAAGACAAACGCCATAAAAACTGAAATGATGGTAACCCACAACATATTTTATCAAAATAAAAATACTACAAAACCACAACTAATAACAAAAAATGAGCATAACTCCCGGGACAGGAATACAATCATATGTATGGGGGGGAGGGGGGAAGGATTGGTATGCCACAGTAAATGAAACCCTTTTGTTGCTCAGTTTACAATACCTCAGTAACTTAATGTTTTTGGAATACAGAATACATATTCACCTCTTTTCTGAAGATGTTTGATTAAATACAGTACAAGGGTTCCAAACAACTCTGAAATACCACTGATTTTCTTCATATAAGTTTACTTGATTTAGTCCAGTCCCTTCATTACATTGTATGGGCCATATTTAGTATGTCTTTTATTGTTTCTCTTTATCAAATAGTATCTTGTCTCATCCTCATTAGGATGGGGATAAACTAGGCAACTTGAAATGAACAATGTCACGCTGTGGCTGAGGGCATTGATAAAGTGTTTATTGCGCCTCAGAGGAAATACCCCTGCAATGGCACTGGATACTTTCCAGCTAACCAGCCTTGCTTGACCATCCATTCTACCAACTGAAATATACATTCTATGAACAGAACATTGCAATTTGCAATCTTAAATCCACCTAATGCCCCACATACACGGGCGAGCATGCTCGCGAACATGCTTGGCGTTTCCAACAGACGGACGAGCATGTTCGCGAACTTGCTTGTCGCTCGGTAGCGGTTCTTAGGCCTATTCTTGCTTCTCTTGTGCGCTGTGACCATGTGTTACGATGGCTGTGAAAGTCAAGTTGTGTGTATTTATTTATTTAATATTTAATTACTTTATTTGGATTAAATTTAAATGGATGCCAATGCTGTTGTGGCTATTCACGGTGGTGCAGTTTGTTTGGAAGAGGAAAGCAACAGTAAGCCAAGTCAAGTTGTGTGTATTTATTTATTTAATATTTAATTACTTTATTTGGATTAAATTTAAATGGATACCAATGCTGTTGTGGCTATTCGCGGTGGTGCAGTTTGTTTGGAAGAGGAAAGCAACAGTAAGCCACGAAAAATATGGTGTAAAAATTGGCTCAAAAATAGAAAATGGTTCAGCCATATGTCCCTTCTAAGAGAACTATTAAAATTCCATCGTTGTGCAAAATATATCTCGTAGTTTTGCTTATTCTAGCCTTTCTTAGAATTATTTAATTGTGACAAATTACGACAGAATTGATTAAGTACACATTTGTGTAATAATATACAAATTTTAATTGATGAACCCTCTATTTTGGAAACTCATTTAAATTTGTATTTATTGCGTTACAAACACAAATAAATATTTATTTAGCTCCTGTAAACATTGATTCTAAATCTATTACTGTAACTGGAATACATCAGAGTATCAACACCATGATGATTACAAGTGCAATCTGTCTAGTGCGGCTACTTTGTAATGGCGGTAACGAAGTAATCGTTTGGAATCGGAACGGTTACTTTGTAATGAGTCCACAAGTGTAACTGGAATCATGGTAGCGGCTACATCGATGGAATCATTTAGCCTATCTCTACCCACTGGGTGAGTTGCAGCGGCGAACATGCTCTCGAACATATTGATCGTCCCCACAGACGGGCGAGCATGTTCGTGTGTCGGGCTCGCCACGTCCGACGAGCCGAGCGCCGAGCCCAACATGCTCGCCGCGACGGATCCCACACACGGGCGAGCATGTAGGTCGCCAACACCGTCACGAGCATGCTCGTCCGTGTATGGGGGGCTTAAGAATAGAACATTGAAATGACTCAATCACCTATATTTATGGAGCAAATTGTTGTATAGTATCAATACAATTTTTTTTTACTATTAAAACAATTCTTACTTTTACAAAGTTTAACTTAGACCTACTTTATATTCAATAAATCAAATCAAATTAAAAACCAAATTGTTTATGAACCTCTCTCACTAAGTATGAGTTACACACCACCTCTGACCCCTGACAAAGATGGAACTCTAACCAACGATCTACAATGCTGTCATATTCTCTTGATCTACAATGCTGTCATATTCTCTTGATCTACAATGCTGTCATATTCTCTTAATCTACAATGCTGTCATATTCTCTTGGTCTACAATGGTGACATAATCTCTTAATCTACAATTGTGTCAAATTCTCTTGATCTACAATCATGGACAAATTGAATTAAATATTACCAGACATCAGTGCTGTGGTTAGCATAAGTTCTGGCGTCCACAGCTAGGAGTGCCGTGTATTTACTTAGCGTGTCCGTCGTAACTACACGGCACTCCTAGCGGTGAACGCCAGAACTTATGCTAACCGCAGCACTGCTGTCAGTCTATATTTAATTTTATTTGTCTATTCTACAATGCTACCATGTTCTCTTGATCTACAATAATGTAATATTCTCTTGGTCTAGAATGCTGTCATATTCTCTTCTGACCACGAAAGAACGCCTTACACCACTATTAAGTATATTGCCCATTGATTATATATCCAGTATAGATATACCTGAAAATGGCCATAAGTGCACTAAACATTGTTTTATTTCAAATTTATTGATGTCAAATTTATTGATTTCATTTTCAGAATCCTCGTTAAATTTCCAATATTATTACTGTAGTAAAGAGTCATTGGGATGAAACATCTGTATAAGCACTTATTTTGCAATGGAAGTTTGAATTTTTTGATAAAAAAAAAACAAAAACTAATAACATTTGCCAAAGTTTTTCTATACTACACTGGACTGTAGAGAGTGGCAAATATTACTGAAAACTTTTGCAGTTAATAACCTTTAAAATGATGTATTAAAACTAATGTATTAAATGTATTAATACATTACAAACCTAATCATGTAATGTAGGTATGCCTAGTTAGCTGATGGAAAAACGTCTTAAGAGTCTTCCGTAGTGGAAGCCATGTTGGATTTCTTCCCCATAAGAACAATGTTAACTTTGGGTCCAAATATCTCATCAGCAAATTGTCATATAATTATGGATAAGGAGTTAAATTTGAGGAATTGCGGTCCTCTAGAGATTGACGTTTTTTATTTCACAATTTTTAATTTTTATAATGAATAATTGATTATTAATTAGCTTAAAATTAAGCTAATTATTGAAAGGAAATGAAAATGGATTTTCGAAATTCAAAAACCTCAGTCACGAGTCTATTATGTTAAAAATACAAATTATAAATTTCAAAGCTATATCTTAACAAATAAGGCCGTTACGTGTCCACAAATGATGTAATGTTTAACATTGTTCTTATGGGGAAGAAATCCAACATGGCTTCCACTAAGGAAGACTCTTAACGTGCCAAAGAGGATATTCGATCGGGATATATCATAACTTTAGACTGAATAAAACACCAATCAATAACAATTTCAATGACAAATGTTTACTAGTAAAAATAAGTAGATGACTTCGATAGAGTCCGGTCATTCACTGGTTAGGACTAAGAAAATGAATTATAATTTTAATCTGATATTGATAATTATATTTCTTAATAATGTCTAAGCATTTTGATAGTAAATAATTGTAAATTAGAGTCCAAACAAATAACCCGACGGTCATTCATTGGTTCAGCCCAGAAATCTGTTCCAATATATGACCGCTTGAATAAAAACTTATTTGTTGGCTTACGTATAAAAACAGACAGTTTTAGATTAATATACACTCTTAATCTATATATTAATACGCAAGCAGTTTTCTTTTCACAGTCATAACCCGATAACGACTGGACGGATTTTAACGTTTAATGTCTCAAAATAAAGGTATTCTTACGTAGATGTACAAATACGTCTCAGAATGTTAAGAAAGGGCATCACCTAAAGTACAGTAAAGTGTATTTTTAGTCAAAGGTAAGGTGCTAAATTCTCTGAACAGTGGCGCTATCTGTCATCATTAAATCAAACTTAATTTACACTGTTTATGACTAAACATATGGACATGGTTTGAAATAGTTCTTAAGGTTAATCTCAGAGTGCAGGACTTATAACTTCCAGAGTAAAGCCGGAATTATTATATTTGCATTTTAACATATGTTTATTAAGTCTGATTCATTAATACTGTAAAGTATTTCCTAGCAAGACTTGACAACAAATTGTTTGTAATAGCTAAATTGATTTACCTTAAATCATGTTTTGCTGAATTATCACATAGTTTTGGTTACAGTTCGGTATGATGAAGTGAATGTTTAAAAGTGCTTATTCGCAATGTATTTACCCATTACCTTACCATTTTATCATGTAATTTAACTTACATTGTGTATCATTATTTCTTTGTAGTGTTGTTTTCTGTTGTTTGGTTGGCTATTTCGTGTTTAATTTAAATTTAAAATTAAAAATACGAAGAACTCCGAGTAGTCGGAAGAAACCCGAACGCGTGGCCGCTTGCAACACCCTCCCAATGGAACATTTGAAGTACACAGAGGGGCAGTACTAGACCGCCGTGGTGCTACATAAGAAAGTTGAATGTTAACATTGTAGTGCCTTACATTGTAAGCAAGAAAATACTGGCCAAGACAATTAAATTTTTACTCTTTGTTGTCATAGAGGAAAAGTTCATTTACCTCATTTGTGGAATTCACCATACTTTCAGGAATTTATTGGAACTCACAATCTAAAAACAGGGCTGTGAGACCTAGATCCTGAAAATTATTTGGATAAAATTCGCCAATTAAATTCCACCTTTGCCATGGTCAGCTCCGACTTCGGAGGCTCTGAAGCTCATTTAGCTGAGAGCACCTCGCGGCCAGTTTCGACAAATGCTGCAAGTTCTTCCTGATTCATCGCAGACTATTGTAGAAAACTGTGTAAACTTATTCATGTAGTTGTCATGCATAAACATAAAGAAATTAATTCAGGAAACATATGGTGACATTAACGATA